AAGAGGTTGGCTAATATTTAATTAATGAAGAAGAGAGACCAAAAATATAAAGAAGAAAGGAAAATCAAATAATACAGTGGAAAAAAAACAGGTTGAGTGGATAATAAGATTGAGAAGTGGATGCCTTCAAGCAGGAGGGATGCAGAGAGCAAATCAATGCGAGAAGTTTCTGGCAACATTCTTGAGAGGCTCACACGTGGCTTGCATGATCATGAATGGTGCGTTTATGCAAGCCTGGAGTGGGGGGGCTACCTGCTGTGAAGACTATTACCTGTTACACAACCACTTAATTTCTAAATATTTTCAAATAATGGATATTGGAATAATGGAATCTTTTCTGAATTTTGTATACAAGGCAGCTTGAATCTGGGTAGTTCAATGAAGACCATATATACCCAAGGTCTCATCCTCATCCCACCTCCCTGACTGGCTGCAGGGTCTGATGGAATCAGCCCCAGGGTGCTTCAGGACCTGTTCTCCCTATCCCTGAGCCTGCAGACGGTTCTCCTACCCAGGAAGACATCCTATATGTTCCAGGGACCAAAAACGGGGTGCTCCGGGGAGCCTTAAGGACTTCAGAGCAGTTGCTTTCACTTCACGCTTCATGAAGGCCTTTGAGAGGCCGATCACAGGACAGACCATGAACCTTCTGGTAGTAGCTGCAGAGAAGATGTGGGGAAAAATGGAAAACATCATATACAATTCTACCCATCCCTTCCATGGGGCACTCTCTTGGAGCACCTTTAGCCATCGGCTTATTCTGCCATGTTGCACTAAGAAACACTTCTAGGGATCTTTTCTCCCTGCTGGTATCAAGAATTAAAATGCCTCATCCTGACATGCCTGCCCTCACCCGCAGCCCAACAACACACTTTTAGAACACACCATTTAAAGCAGAGTAGAACATGCTGCATATATACACTCACCTAAAGGATTATTAGGAACACCATACTAATACGGTGTTTGACCCCATTTCGCCTTCAGAACTGCCTTAATTCTACGTGGCATTGATTCAACAAGGTGCTGAAAGCATTCTTTAGAAATGTTGGCCCATATTGATAGGATAGCATCTTGCAGTTGATGGAGATTTGTGGGATGTCAAAAGTCAAAGTTGCTCTTCTATCAGCTTGAATCAGTTGGTCCATTCTCCTCTGACCTCTAGCATCAACAAGGCATTT